TCTTAGTTACTTTCTCATTACTGAAACAAAATACTCAATACCCACAAGTTAAAGGAAAAAAGGTTTATTTCAGCTCATAATTTTTAGAGGTTTCAGTTCATAGTCAGCTGACTCTAAGGCAGGGCAGCATTGCAGAGGAGAAATAGTCCATGGTGTTCCAGGCAGGAAGAAGCCAACAGTGTGCCTTCCTTTCCCTTTTATTACATTCAGGCTACAAGCCAATTGGTTTGGTCATGGTAGGCCTTCCCATTATTCTCAAAGAACTATGGTAAAACCAATCAGTGGACTAATTTAGTTATCACATACCCTTAATCTATAGTCATACACCCTAGATCCAGCTACCTCCAAAAAGCCCCACCTATGAGCACATGAGACTTTAGAAGAACATTTAGATACAAGCCATAACAGAAGCTGAAGCAGAAGATTGCAAGTTCTAGCCCAGCTTGGGCAACTTACAATTTAGCAAGACCCTGTCTCAAAAGAAAAAATAAAAAAGGTCTGAGGATGCAGCTCAGTGGAAAGGCCTTGAGATCAATCCTCAGTACTGGAAACAAAAGGAGAATATGAGAATGGCAGGTCCCATAAAGGAGGCCTGAGGGGTAACACAGGCTGGAGGCACTCATGGAACTTCCAAAATGACCAGTGTATTAGTCAGCTTGCAGTTACTGTGACAAAGAACCTGAGAAAAAAGGAGAGATTTACTTTGGTTTATGGTCTCAGAGGTTTAAGTCCACGCTTGCTTGGGCTCATTGCTTTTGGGCCTGTAAAGAGGCAGAAATACCTTGGCAGAAGCATGTGGTGGAGGAAACTACTCACCTCACAGTGGTCAGGAAGCAAAGAAGTAGAAAAGGGCTGAGGTCCCAATATCACTTCCAGACTCCCCACCCCCATGTTCCCTGCTTTGACCCAACTTCCTTCAACTAGGCTCCACCTCATACAGATTCTATCACTTCCTAATAGTGCCATAAGACTACTAATGAAGCCTTCAACTCATGGCCTTTGGGAGACACTTAAGACCCAAACCATAACATTGAGTGAGAGTAGCAGTGCTGTGAGTGAAGATGGGGTCCTTGGTATTCAGGTGGGTACAGCAGTCATCAAACCTGTTGTCACTGCTCATGGGTCCTTACTGCTATAGTAAGGCTGCAGAGGGCAGGGAAACTTGGCTTAGAGGAAGTAAGTAGATCCTTTGCTTAACTAATTATGATTAATTTACAAAGCCCTACCAAAGTAATAGTGACCTGTTATTCTGCCTCTTCCAAAGTAAAGGCACATAAAAGGACCCTAGCCATCTCTCCACCCTGCTCTGCATCCTGGAGGCTTTTAACTATATGGTCAGGCCCTAGCCTCTCTGGGCCCCCAACAGACAGGTGGTTTTGACGAGAGGCACCAGCCAGTGAAATGATGGAGCTCCATTTTACTATTCCTTTCCTATGTCTTCCCACTGCCGGTTTGCTAGTGCTGTTGAAGCAGAGTATCACAGATTGAGTGATTTAAACAATAGAAATCTATTTTCCCATGGTTCTGGAGACTGGAAGTCCAAGATGAAATTGTTGGCAAGCTGGTGTCTTTTGAGGCCTTTCAGTCTTGGCTTGTAGACAAAATTTCCCTGTATTCACATGGTCTTTCCTCTGCATATGTTGGTGTCTAAATTTTTTCCTCTTTATGAGAACAGCAGTCATATTGGATTAGGGCCTACCCTAAGGACCTAATTTAACTTATCTCTACAATATACTTATATCCAAACATGGTCACACTCTAGGGGGTAGGACTTGAATACATTAACTTGTGGGAAACAAGAGTTCAGTCTGTAACAGATGGGAAGAGCTCCTGGTCTCCTGCTAGTCCCAGGGGCATATATAGTGCCATCTTGTTTTCTGAAACCCTGCCCACGTTTCTGCAGGTTATTAATTTTCTTGAACCACCCCATTTGTGTGTACCATCTGTTTCTGCCGGTTGATACAGAGTATCAACCGAATCGTATCTCTTTCAAGCATTGAAGCTACTATTCTACCAACTGCCTTTCAAACTACCCGCCCCGCAATCCATATTAGGGATGCTAAGCACATACTGTAACACTGAGCTGTTATTTGCAGCCCCTGTCAATGACTTATTTGAGATCACTAAAATTCTTCCCGTTACTGGCCATTTAGGGCCACATACTCAGGTTTGTTTGATCACCAGTGAGCAAATCAAAGATCATTTATTTTGGTAAAAAGAAAGAAGAATTTATCCGTGTCTGCCTTGCAAGTGCAAGGTCCTGAGTTTAATCCCTGGTACAAAGGAAAAAGAAAAGAAAACCAATTTATTCAAAGCCAGCTCTGAGGAGATGGAGGGGCCTCATCACTCCTTCCTGTGTACAGGTAGGCCAGGGTTTTTTATAGCAAGGCACAGTGGGGGAGGGAATCCAATGAGAAGAGACAAGCTCAGGTTTGTTCCACTCCTTCTCTGTGGAAAGGAACCTGGACTTTGTCCTGGTGCCTGCATAGTCTGTGCACTCATCTGGGCTGAGGAGAAGTAGGGGGTCACAGATTATGCCCTAGGCTTGAGGAAGTCTGGAGAAATCACTTGTTTCTAAAGGAAAAACAAACAAACAAACAAAAAAAACAACTGTTTTTTTTTTTTTTGAGGAAGCCATCTTCTTCCATTTTTATTATGTGAAACTTTAAAAAAAAACTTTTAAAGTTACATTTTGCTGTAACTTTAAAAAGGTCTGCTTTTTTTTTTTTTTTTTGGTACTGGGGATCGAACTTGGGTCCTTGCACTTGTGAGGCAGATGGCTGAACCACTGAGCTAAATCCCTGGCCCAAAAGGTCTACATTTAAAAAAAAAAGGTTTAAAAGGCTGCATCCTTTTTAAAACTTAAGTTTCATTTTTGTTTGGGATGATTAGAGATGAGTGGAGGTGGGGTTGCTACAGAATATATAATATTATTGAGCATCCTTAAGTCTACTTTCAGACTCTTGGACCCATTATCTTCAAGCTTCAAGATAAGGCACACTCCCCTACTATGCCCACAGGTCCTCTCTACAGTCATTTCTGCTTTCAGGTCCTGGGTCTTTTCCCAGCGATGGTGTCCCTGGGCTTGAGCAGTTCTGTTTGGCACAGCCAACACCTCTTTCCTCAGGGAAGCTCATCTTCCCCTATTCTAAACCTATGAGTGGACATCATTATTTCTTCAAATGCTCCAAACTAAAATCCTCACCTGGTTCAAAATCCTCCCCATCATTGAGATCTGAGGACAGTTAAAGGATATCTTCATGCAATCATGACATTGGGCAGGTCCTCTGTGAGAGACCTGACTGAGCTGAAGTGACTCCTTGTTGGATGGCTAATGACCCCAGAGACTATTGTGCACCCCACCCCTCCCCTTATCAGACAACAGGTACCCAGGACACAACATTCAATTTTGGCTTTAACTTGTTAGGATGGAAATCTTGGGTCAGCACCCTCAAGGACCAATTATTGTTATATTGCTCCTCCTCATGTTTGGTCCCTGCATGGAAAAATGGAGATCAAAAGTCATACATCAGAGAGTAGCTGCTGCCCAGAATTATCAGATGCTAATTACAAGGAATAATGAAAATTGGTATGAACATAACAAGGGGTAAGGAGTTACCCCCAAAACAAAGGGAGGAATGATAGGGAAAACTTTTATAAATAGCAAAAACCTATAAAGTGTTACATTGTAAAATGGCTTCTTCTGTCTCTAACAGCATTTTGTTGTGTTTAGCTCAAAACTAATAGGCACCGAAGACACTAATTGCTGAATGAGGCATCTGGCCTTACCCTGAGATAACAGGGCACATCAAAGTCTTGAGCTCCAAAGAGACTAGAGCCACATGATCATAAAAGTGTCTAAATGAAAGAACCATTGTTAACATTTGCTTTCCTGACCCTGAACACCCCCTTCCTATGAGCTAGGATAGATAGCTAGGCGAATCTTCAAGGTAAACTCCCCAACAGCAAAGAACTGTTATGTCTTGGTTGAAAGTTAACTGTCTTGTGACCATGATTTGTATATCTGTAAATGAAATGTAACAACCTGAATGAGGTCATGGCTATAAATCCTATAAAACCTATACACAATCCTGTAATGGGGCTTCACTTCCCTTAGAGAGTGGAGTCCGCACATGTGAAATAAACTTCTTTCAGTCTTATCTTTGTCCCGGTATTTGGTGTACTCGCTGGCTTGGTATAACACACTGTACACACATACTCCACTCTGCCCAGGTGTATAAATGTTACCGGGTTTGGGGTTTTTTTCCCAGAGGTGGTTTCTAGGTTCTTCTTGTTTTGAACAAAGAATTGGACAAAACACGTGCATAAGGTAGAGAGGTTTTATGTTTATTAAAGAAAATAAATGTTCTGCAGAGCGAGTTTGAGTCAAGTAGGAAAAAAGTACACTCTACAGTGTGAGAGCAGAGCACCAGTAAAAAGAACACAGTAGCACCCAAGCTCAATAGTGGCTGTCCTTTTGTATCCCCCACTCCGCAGGCTGACTTCGGGTCTACGCCATCCTAGAGAAGACAGTGCTCTCTAGTGGGCCCCACTACAGTGCTTTGGGAACTGTTTTGCGCATGTGTCAGGGCCTTTGTAGTTAAGAGGTGAGGTCTACCTCCACATCCAGTTTGTAACGCCCTAACTTCTTGTCTCAAGTGTGAGAATGTGAGGTGGACTACAGATAAGACCCCTTCCTACTGCTCACCTGTTCAGAGAAGTCCAGATGGCTAGGGAGGGAGACCCCCACTGTAGTGGGAACTGAAGTGAGATTCTCCGGGAGATACCGTGGTTCCCCACACATCCATTCTTTCAGGTCCGTAGATGAGGGCTGGGGATGTATTTCAATAATGGAGAACAAGCCTAACAAGTGGGAGGCTCTGGTTTTGATCCTCAGCATCCTCCAGCCACTTGATAGGCTGGGGGGGGTTAATGATAAGCATTTACATCTGTAGGGCCCGCTGCCTTACCGCCGGCCTCTCTCTTTGAAAACATCTCAGTGCTCATAATCGCCTTGCTGAGGAAGCCCTTTTCACCAGGGTGAATTGCCGGTTTTCCAGACATGCCCGGGCAGCCTGGAGGCAGACGACTGGGCTGCCTGCCAACCACAAGTTCACGTTGACGTTTCTAATCTCAATTGGCAGCCAGGCGCAAGCGCACTGGGTCTCCCGGCGCGGCTGGGGCGGAGCTTCCGGTAGGCCTTGGGCGCAAGCGTCAAACCCGGTCAGGTCTCGTCCCTGGGAGGCTGGCGGTAGGACCGTCGCAACTTGGCTTACGCGTGGGGCAGCTACGCTGTCCGGGGTGAGTGTTAGGCAGCCGGGCTGACTGTGGGTGAGGGTGTCTGGTCCGGCTGGGGCATCTCGGCGGATCGCAGCCCCGCGACCCCAGCCTCTGACCACCCTGACGTAGCCAGGCGGCAGCTCCGGTCTCACTGCTTCTGGCAGGTGCACCTGTGACCGGAAGTGACGTCTTGGGACGCGCCCACCTGAGCGGCTAGTTGGGGCCGTGGGGTCCCAGTCTGTAGGGCTGGTGGAGCGGCCGGTAGGCCTCCGTTTGGTCTTCGTTGCACTCCCGGGGGTGCTTGTTGTGGTGGCGCCTGTAGTCAGCTCACGTCACACTCGAACTGTGTGCGACGGAGTACAGAGCAGTTGCCTGCTAGTGCTCTGACTTGGTTTCCCATCGCATCCTCCCTTGTACCACCATGTTCCATGCAGTTTCCCCGAGCGTCTCTCATTGTCGCCTCCTAGTTCTTCTCCAGCTCCTCACTCTTACTGCAGCCCAGCTGGGCTTTTACAGACGCAAATTGGGCCATGCTAAAGTCGTTGCGTAGGAGTGAGATTTAGTCTCACGCTTTTCAGACCGTGTGACTTGGTACTTCTGCCTTCCCCTGCTCATCCAGGCTCCGAACCAAAAACCCTGTTGCTCCGGCCACGAAGCCCAGTGCTCCAGGAGGAAGTCAGTAAAGGGACAGCTGCCCCTATGACAAAGCTTGGCTATGTACTATAGATTCTTTGAAGATTTACACCACGGGGCGAGGCCTCATCAGCTGACTTGAAGGAAAATATTCCTTTTTCCCCCTAGCATTCTACTTCCAAAATTCACCAGGTCTTTAGCATTTACTGTCGCATTTCAAGGTGTTCACTCTGGCCTGATTAAAGCCTATTCTTGCTGCACATGCTGTCTCTAATGTTACTTAATCAGTGAGGTCTTGTCAGCCTCACACCTACCTCTGTGATTTCAATTAGTTTTCTCTTACTTTGTCAGAAAGAACTCTGTATTTTCCTCTTGAACAGTCACCATAATTGTGTCTATTGGGACAGGAACTAATTTGCCTAGTACATTGCCTGGTGTAATTGACTGTGGAACGCATGATTTATTTCCCTTCGGAAGCTTCTTTAACATTGTGATGAAAGCCTTCTGATTTCTGGTGCTTAGCAACTTCTTTCTCCAATTTCCAGTCCCTTCCCCTAAGCTTTAACTTCTGTCTTGAGTATCTTCAATTTGGGGTCCTTTTGTTCTACCACTTATATTCTGATAATCCCCAGTAGTACATTTTCCGAAGTCTGCTCATTACTGGAGGAGGAAGTTACACAGTGTTGCAGTGCATGGTTTTGTAGGGGAGCAATTGCAGGTGCCCTCAATGTTTGTTTCCCATCAACTCATTTTTGTCTTCTCTAACAGACATTTGTTCTAGACTCTTACTCTTCTCCAGCCCCATCCCAGTTTTGTCCCTGGACTCAGGAACCACCCAGATTTCCTACTTTGTGGGGCATTTTCTCTGTGGTGTACTTCAACTTCCCTCTGTACCTACACCGATTTAGGTATATAAGGGGTCTCCATTCTGCCACTGTCAGAGAAAAGTCTGTCATACTTTCTGGTCTCTTCCACTCTGGACTGTCTCCTGCCACTTCTCAGCTTTTTGGAGGTCATCTCCCCATGGCCGCTCCAGCCATGGCCTTCTCTGTGCCACCTCCCATCAAACCTATTGTTACCCATCACTCCAGCTGTCTGCCCTCCACAGCCGAACTCCTTAAAGGCGTGGGCCACCCTTGATGGCCTTCATTGTCTCATCTGCTGACTTCATAACCCACTACAGTCTGTTTTTTGTCTTTGTTGCTTCGTTGCTTCATTGTAACATTAGAGGCAGCATGTGCAGAAATAACAGGCTTTAAACAGACCACAGAGTGAACACTTTGAAATGAGCTAGTAAATGCTAAAGAGCTGGTGAATTTTGGAATGTAGAATGCTAGGGGGAACCTCTCTTACTGAGATAAAAAATGATCTGCTAGTGTCCAGATACAATGGATCCTTTCTGGTTTCCTTATATGAACATTCTCTGTCATTTACCATTTTTAGACATTCCTTCTTTCTCTTTTATTAATAGTTTTCCCCATACTTCATTATTTTTAACCTTGTCTTTATACTGCAGTGCTAATAGTATTGGCTGAATTGACATTTTTAAACTTAGAAATAAATCTTTGTGTGTGTGCAAATAAGAAAAACAACAGAAAAGGCTCTGACAAAGGTTCTGAATCAGAATTCTGGCCCTTCAGTTGGAAAGGGAGACCAAGCTGAGCCTTTATTTTGCCCCTCCAGTGTTCACCTCTAACTGTTTTGGTGTTCCCCTCTTCTCTCCAGATTCATGATCGCTAGCAAGAGTAGAGCTGCTCCTCTTCCTGGGCCACCCACATCCCACCCAGACCTTTCCTTTGAGCTCAGATTTTCATTCTGACTGAATGCTGCACCAGTATTGGTGACTTACAGTCTTCTTGCCAAGTACCCCCTTTCTGCTTCCCTTCTTCCTTTCTGCAAGTCTTTTTTGTGACTGAATTCACGGGTGACTCGGTTACCCAGACCAAATTTTATTTTAGACTCTTCTGTGAATCTAACTTCCTTTCCACAGATACGAAGACTACCTTAGTATCAGCCTGTGGGCCAGGGCTTCAGACCTTAGAGCGCACAGTATTTCTTGGTCCCAGACAAGTCCACTGTTCCCACTTCTGAGTTGATACAGTGCTTGTCAATAACCCTCCTTGCTGCCCTTCTTCTCCAGTAGAAAATTGAGCCTCTTGAGGGGCAAGTGGTAATCAGTTCTCCCTATTTTTGTTCCACAGTGTTTGGTTACTGGGACTGTTTTTAATGTGGAGTGTGTGGGGTGGAGAGAGGAACATGTGGTTATTTCATAGAAATAAAGTTTCAGCACTGAAAGGAACCTTAGTTTATTGACAGTTACGTAAAAGGCAAGGACGTCTCTTGGGTATTGTGTTACTTCAGTATATTTATTAGATGTGATGCTATTGATGCAGAATATGTTCTCCCCTGCCAGCAGTTCTGGATGATGAGATCTATCCCTATGTATGTCTATGGCATCCCTGCCACCCGTTTCCAGTTTGTATGTACTGTAACTTCTCAGATCCTTTTGTGTGAGTTCATACACTCAGGTGCACAAACACTTCAATAAATGCATTCATACTATGTCCGCAGCTCTTATCACTTAACATGGCTTTTATGATGATGGCCACTAAAAATGTGTAATGGCTATGGGAGACTATTAACACGTGCTGAGTAAGCACCTGTCTTCTCCATGCTGTCCACATGGAAGTAGAAACAGTCTCTCAACTTTGTGGTGGAATGAAGGCAGTATGCATTCAGTAAAAACTACTTTGAATTTTGCTCCTTTCTCAGGAGAGTGATATGCTGTGTTATCCTCTTATATTATTGAGGGACAGCAGGGAGCTACAGATCCATTCAGTTGCACGGTCACGGGTCACGGGCCTGCTGAGAAGGCCAGCACCCATGTCTCTGCAGGGTGCTGTAGTCCTCTGGAGTAAATTCCTGGAACTGAAATTGCTGGGTAGGAGGCCCTGCAAAATTTTACTTCTTGACAGCTACTGATAAATTGCCCTCAGAGGTGCTGATTGACTCCCCCCAGCCCCCCAGTGTGTGATTCTTCCTTGTCTATATTGGATATTGTGCCTGCCAATGTGAGGGGTAAGGAGTTATATTGTGTATCGAAATAGAGTTATTTTTGAGACTATTTTAATGAATTGCTCAGAGATTCTGATTTGCTCGAAGGTCCTGTTCACTGGGTAGATGCTCAGCTGAAGTGTCAGATTCACACTGTAGTGCTTCGCTTACATCGCCAACCCCTGTGTTATAGATGACTGTGCCACTCCAGTGTAAATGATTTGTGCCACAGGAAAGACAGCAGCCAAACCACTGCAGCTCTTTGGGAGCAGTGCCTGAATCTCTGGATTGGGTTGCTTCTATTCTGTGACTTCTCAGGTGGCTGCTAGTGTGTCCTTTGTTGACGTTATGGCATTTCTTCTTTTGGTTGAGTTTTCTTATTTATCACCAGAAGACATATAATTTAGGTCCCTTAGGAAATTAATACTTGGAAACCTCAATTTATATAAGCAGAAGGTTATCACCTGATGATTTGAGAAATCAGTGCATTAATTATGAAATACTTAGGAAACTCTGTAATGATCATTATAGCCAAGAGCTTCACCACGTATTTTCCTTTTCCTTTCAGATAGTCTGAAGGATGCCAAGTGAAGGGAGCCTCCATTCCTGTCAAACTCAGGATCAGGAGCGTTCACAGAGTCCACCTGTCAGAGCTGATGAAGACACAGCTGTGGAGCAGGAGCGTGGGGGTGCTGTGGAGGCAGGGGAGCACGTGGCCTCTCCTCCCTCTAACTATATGCCATCCACCTCTGCTGAGGGGTGCACATCAGCAGCCATGAGGAGAGGCCTGGCCCTGCTGCACATCGACAGACATCAGATCCCCGCAGTGGAACAGAATGCGCAGGCCCTGGAGCTGCAGGGCCTGGGTGTGGATGTCTATGACCAGAGTGTGCTGGAGCAGGGTGTGCTTCAGCAGGTGGACAGCGCCCTGAACGAGGCCGGCCGTGCAGCCCAGCTCGCAGATGCTGAGAAGGAGTACCGTTGTGTCCTGGATGACCTCACGTGAGTGCAGCCTGACTTCCCTTTCAGAATCTGTGTGTAAACATTGTAGAGACATTCAGGTGAGAGAGAGCTGTAGTTTTCCTGAGATTTAGGAGATTTATAGAAGCTCTTAATTCAGGAGACAGAGGAAGTAAGTATAGCCCTCCCCTTAGGAGCAGCATTGCCCATGGTCAGAGGGCTCAGTCTGGCTCACCAAGTTATATCTTGTGCTTGTGTAGTGTCCTGAGGAGAGGACTGGCCTGGAGGCCTGCAGACTCATAGGCAGTTGACTTCAGGAGAAAGGTGCCCTAGCTTTGGAGTTCGCTGCTTGAGATACTGGGAGCATGTACTGCCTCCGCATCATATTTTTCTGTGTCCTGTAGTTTCCACCTAGCTTGCTTTCTTCAAGCTGAGCATTTGTCCCTTGGTGGTTTTTCAGATTTGCATTTCTAAAAATGATGGGAAAGAACTTTCTCTTTCCTTTCTTCTGTCTTGCTTTGGCTATAAGGAGAGATGAAATCCCATGGAGATGTCATTTGTGTTACAGAGCAGACATAGTGCCTGGATGGGGACAGGTGGATCTGGCAAGGCTGGGTAAGATCAGGGAGGTAGCAACGGTGAGCCCATTTGTCCTTGCCACTGGCTTTTGTTCTGGACAGGGTCAGGCAAATGAGAGAGAGAGAAGCAGAGGCCTGGGCTGGATGTGGCTGGGGATGGAGGGTGTGGAGCTGGTGGCTACTGGTAGTACAGCTGGCTCTTAGGCATTTAAAGGGCGTGCTGTGTGCTAACAGTTCCTGCTGTGTCCTTCCAGCCTCTTATTTTGTTGTTGGCCTTTTGAATAGCAAATGCTGTTGTGTAGTTACAATGTAATTTTGAGTGTAGAGGGCCCCAGTTCGTAATAATAACCCATCTTTTACTTTTTTTTTTTTTTTTTTTGTTTTCTTT